TGGAGCAAAAGGCCAAGTTCCAAAATAAGGATACCTGTGCAAGCAGAACATTTCCATTTCCTAGAAATAAGGGGATAGGGAAGTCAATGGCTGAGCTGTTCCATTGTGTCACCCAACAAAATCACACAGTGAATTTGTTAAAAATGTAGGTTTGTTTTTTTTCATTGTGGCATCAGCTATGTGTTTCATTCACAAGTCAGGCCTCTGGGATAGCTGCTGTGCAGACAGAGAAACACAACAGTCATCAAGCACGGCTCTGCCACCACCACCTTTGCAAGCCCTCAGTTGCCTCCCAACCCTCCACAGACGGTACCTTCTGCTACCCACTAGCTGCAGGTCGCTACCTCTGCCTGCTTGCTCCCGCACAGCTGCAAATAAACAATTACCTCTGAATATCCTTCTAATAGATGATCAACAGGGATGCAATCACTGCTCTGGGAAAGTGCCTTCAGATGTCTGCACTGATTGCCTCGCTTTTGGAAGAAGATGAGTAGCTCTGCTTTACCCCCAAATCAACCAGCAACTTAATCAAACAAGAACTGGTTCGGCAGGCAAACTTCTGATCTATGTAAGTCAGCTACCTATGTCAATCAGTTTTAATTATGTTCAGAATAGAAGACCTGTGGACACAAGGTTTTCCGCAGCTTTTGTTTTCTGTAAGAAACTAATTTCTCTTGGTAAGAGCTCAGCTAAATCACAACACAAGTAGTGAACAATCAGCAAAAACATTGTTTTGTAAATGCATTGAGGTAGGTTCAGCAAAGTTGATTAAGAGAAGAATAATCAAACAAACATCACTATTCAAGACAGCAGAAGGGCTCGAATACTCTAGAATTGTTTTTTTAAAAAATACCCAAGTATTTTCTCTGGCAGCAAATCCCTTCTAAAACCAGAAACCATACCCCAACCCATCTTTCCTCCAGCCCTCAGTTTCAATGTTCCTCCTCAGAAGACAGCAAGGGTGAAGAAAGATTTCCCTGAGTTTTCCCCCCATGATTTTGTTCACCGCTAACATCTGTAATCGTGTCCATACCTTCTTGCTGGCTAAAATCAGCTGTCCTCCTTTTGATGTCTCTTCAAGTGGCAGCATGTACCGATTCTCGGAAAGGAGTGTCACAACCTCCTGAACTCATTCCCTGTCTTTTCACTTTGGCTCTCATTCTGCGCAGTTTTTCTTTTCTTCTCTTATTATTTTTTTAAACTCATTTAATTAATTTATTCTTCAGCTCTAAAAGCATCTGAAAAAAAGTCAGCTTCTGCAAATCAATTACACCCACAGTTACCATTCTGCAGCCCCTGGGACACTTAGCAGGCCCTCACCACTGCAAATGTATTTGGGTCTCATTAGCTTAATATGTCAACATCCTCTCCCTTCCAGTAGGCATGGGCTCAACTGCCTTTAAAGGCATAAAAGTAAGGACTTCTTGCTTCTCCCTTAAAACATATTGTGCCAAAGGTGACAAGGAATACAAAGAGAGGTGCCAGAAGGTGCCCTTTTCACAGTATGAGCTTCTTATGCAAATGCCAATAGCTGTGCTATGTACAGTAAGCAACTAAAACTGAAGTTACAATAAAACTCACCTGTGCCAGTGCAGGAAGAAGGAAAGCACAGACAACAATTTATATGCTAAACCCCTAAATGGGTAAAGTCAGAAATATCCATGGCACTACATCAAGTTCTACAGCATCTAAGGATCTGGCCGTCAGCTTTGGTCGAGTGCTGCCAGCTAAGGCAGAGACCACCACTAGGAAGACTTGAAACTGGCCAAACAGACTTGGAAGATGGCATTTTCCTCAAGGATCCATTCACAGACCATCAGTTGAACTGAGGCAAAGCCAATAACCATCAGTCCTTTAGTGGCACCAAATCACCACCCTGGAAACCAGCACAGAAATTCAGCTTTCATTTCTCTTATTCACTAGTACAGCAATTTATTCTTGTGAATAACGAACCTTAACACTGGTCCTTTATAAACACATCCCAACACAGTCACAATTTACCTCTAGATGTCCCTAGCAGTTCCTGATAGATGGGCCATGTTGCCAAAGGAGGTGTAAAAATCCAAGTAGTTTGGGTTCTTTACTGTAACTACAGCCTGCACTAACAGAGAGTGAGCACATTATATAAGGAGATTAGACCGTGTCATATTTACAACCTCAGAGTCCCCAGTGAGAGAAATTGCTCAGCTGTTACTGTCAGTGTCTTCTTCAAACAGGAACCCTGCTGACAAGATGATGAATTCAGAACATTGTTGCCAATTAATGATTTGTAGGCAGAAGGGATTTCAATAGTTCCCATATGTTTGTGAGGATGACTGGGATTTACATCATCACTAATAAAAGAGTGTAGTCTACTCTGTCCAGATGTGACACTAGAGATTAGAAAATGTCATCTTTGCAGTAGGAATTTTAATAAACAAAGCCAGGCTCTTCTGGGTTGAAAATGTTTCCCAGAGCATGGTCACTAATAACCTGCTTATGCCTAAGTGAAAGCAAGCAGGGAGAACTGCTTGCAAGATGCACCCAAGTGATTTACAAACCAAAGGTCAGAAGTTATCTAGGTGTTTGTCAAATCTACACTGCAGAGTGCCAAGATCATCATTATGTCAGCCAGGAGCATGGAGTGCATGAGCATGGAGTGCATTTCCTTAACACCAGTCAGACTGGAAAAAAAATTACAAAGCAGCCTTTACAAACACGTAGGACCTTTCTTGGCGTCACTAGTTCTGCTTATGGGCTGCAAAGTTTAACTTCACTGTCCTAGAAAAAAAATCTCCTCCTTGTGAATATAACAATAACCAAAAAAGAAAGCATTTTACTCACACAGGATATCAGCATGAACTCTATACAGGCTGAACGCAGACCTCCTGAATGACTTAAGGCTGAATGTCTTCTATCTACTGAGCATTTCTGAGCCAACCAGCAGGGAATTTTTGGCATGATGACCTGGGTTAAACACAGGATATCCAAACAGGGCCCTCAAACAGACTTTGCCATCAGCACTCAGGTCCCATTGATTTGGTAATGGAATTTAGGGTTATCCCAAAAAAAAAAGAATTATGGGCTTTAACAGCTCTAGAGCTCCTGCCAAGGGTGCAGCCTGCAGGTGAAGTAAAAGAATAGTTTATGAGAGTGTGCCTTATGACAGAAGCACAAAGGAACACCACCATGAAGTGTCTTTACATTTCCTAATTATGATCACAGGCCTACCCAACACAGTCATAAATTGCAAGGCCAGGCAACTCAGAAAAACAAATTTTAAAAACCCCACCTACACCCCAAAATGGAGAGCAGGACCTCTAATCTCTAAGGTCTTCTGAAAGCAAACCTCAGATTGCTACCTCAACACTACCAGAGATCCAATCACTCTACAGGCACAGTAGCTTGTCAAAGATAGTCTCAGGTTTCTAGTTTAAATCCATAGGTTTTTGTGTTTGTTTTTGCAATCCTTAAGAGTGCTTTGAGAGATTCCATGCTGTTCATGTAGTGTGGGAGAGCAGGATTTGAAAGGTGGCTAATGGATGTACCCCTTTCCTCCAAAAATTCTTACAGGTGGACTGAAGTCAGTATCCAGATGCAGCACCAAATCAGTGCATATTATTTTGTGACATGGTATTTTCAGCCATAATGAAGCAAAACCTTGCTGACCCATGTTCCTCATCTGTGACAGTCTATATTTCTTCAGCTTGGGCTAATGTTGATCTTAATTCCCCCCTTGAACAGTATCATACATCAAGTAAGACTCTTCCCTCTCAAAAAGGAGAAACATCTTTATTGGCACAGGTAAACCAAAAACAAGACAGATTTTGCTGTATTGACTACATCTGTAAAAAAAGGAGACTATCCTGGTCAAAAAGCACACTTCACATGCTGTTAACTAGAGGTTTCTCTAACACAAGCATACGTACATTTTCTCTCCAAGACAACCCTTGAAGAGACTTGAACTACGTAATCTTCAGGGGCACAAGCATTTGACCGAGGACTAAAGGATCAAGGCCACAGTTTGCTTTGGATATGTACTGATCTGTTCTTCACTCCACACTACAAATACCAATAATGAGTGTCTGGAGTGAGGTGAAGAGAAAATGCAACATAGATTTTGGTTGAAGTGGAATCCCTCTGCCTTCCTCACGGCACCTATTACTGTCTATTACTAAGCGGCTGCAAGTACAAGGCAATTAAAACAGGACTGATAACCAACATATAATAATTTTTAAAAAATCAAACTGTATTACAATATTTTTTCTTTACCTTCTCTTTTACACCCAAATCATTTTTAGCCAGTTACATATTTACAATGGAAGGGCAAATTTTACAAGCAAGCATGTAATAAAGCAAACCATGAAATGAGATTATACACTCAGAGTATACTGATGTTCTTTAGAAGCTGAAGGTCTTGAGTTGACCTCTTTTTAGGTCTTGAGCTTTAGATAAACTAGATCTCTTGCACAAGGCCTCTGATGATTCAGGAGACCTACGTTGTCCAGCAACTTAGGAGTCAGCTACTTGTGTGAAAACTTCAGCACGTATGGAAGCATTTTTATCAGTGGGGCTTTAGGTTTAACTATGAACAGCTGAGCACCTTTGTATTAAATTATTTACCAGAGAGGAAAATCAATCAACTCACACCATATCAAATACCCACCCCCCCCCAGAGTGATAAAGAGAGAAAAACATACTCCTTCAAATACAAAAACAAAATGCATCTTGCATAAGGAGATTAACTTCAAACATTCCCTGGTACACCCAAGAAAAACAGAAGCCAAGCTTCTAAAATTCATAAGGAAACCCTGATACTGAGCAAAACTAACATAAGTCTTTAAATAACAGGTAAGACTGCAATTGCGTCATGTACCCAACAGTAGAGTGCTGCAAAGGTAATAGCAGTACGCGAGATTCTCCTTGTTCAGAGCCTTGTAAGCACCAGAAGGACCCGTGCCAAGTGCCACTACATCCAGCCAAGGCCTTTGTATTCATGCTGTAATGGTTATTCGAAGGACCCCAACAGAAGTGAAAACCTGACCCACCACTGTCAACACAACAAGGCATGAAAAATATGGAAGAGAAGAAAGCCAAGACCGTGTATCACCTTGGACACTCAGTATGGCACCCTCCCTGCAAATCCTTACCTTGGCAGGTGTTGTTCTTCTCCTCATACCCTGCCTTGCACAAGCACTTCCCAATGGGCACCAGCCATTCCCCCTCAGCACTGCAGTGCATCTTCGGTGCCTCCTCAGTCACTGAGTGGTTGATGCAGACACCTGACACCTCTAGGAGCTGCGAGGAATCCGCACCCGTGATGGTGTCAGGAAAGTGGGCCAGGTTGCGGATTACTGATGGGCATTTCTTGTAGTACACGCGCACAGAGACCAGGGCAATGCAGGCACCCACGTCCTGGAAAGCGAGGTAAAATCCCTTTTTTGTTAGGGGCCCAACATCTCTCACCTCTGTGTTTAGCTTCATAACTCTATCGCCAAGGTCTAACTCTGTGAAGCTCTCATCAGCAGCAATGGTATCGATCTTGATGTACTGGTTTTCTTTGATGTTCCTCCCATCTTCATCATCTGATTCAAAGTAATACATGTTAAAAGTCTCTTTGCAAGTCCCAAGTCCTCCTGGAAGGCTGTTGCAGTCCCTCAGGGTGAATTTGAGCTCAATGAAGATGCGGGACGCCCCTTCATTAGAGATCCAGCTGGTCAGAAGCCAGTTGTTCTGATTCTGTTCCATTACCTTGCATACTTGGTATGTGTGTATCGGAGCGTAGTTTTCATCCACCTCACCAATTTCTTCCCACTGTATAAAAAGGAAAAGTATTACTTTTTAAAAAAGTTATAGCTCCCACAAATCTTAGCTTTCCCATCTAAGAGCATCTCGGGCTTCAGAGGTTCAGGAGGACTTTTAGGGGGAAAATTTTTAACTGCCAAGCTTTCTGTACCAGAGGCTTGATACATTCCTGACAAAGTCAGATAAAAGATCCTTATTTAAATAGAAAAGGATGCCAGTTAAAACCTTTTGTTTCAGATATTTCAGAAGTGGAAAAACATACTGCTGGGTTTGTCCACTAGAAAACAAAAGCAGATGGGGCCATTTCCATGGTCTTTTCCAATGCATCCATATAGGAGGAAAAAAAAGCTATTTACAGTTCATCTGTCCCTATTCCCCCAGGCTTCTTTCTACCACATCCTCAAATCACTGCACAACATGAGGACTACATTTCTGCAAGCTATTCTCCCCTGCCAAACAGTGTGCCAGAAGATCAGTGGAGTGATACATGAAATAAATGGGCCTTTGCTCTCTCCAAGTGTGCTAGTCAGAGGAGTTCTTGCTCATGCAAAGAGAAGATTACCTACAATACAGGTTACAGGGATCTGCAAATCTTGAGCTGTTTATGTGCTACACAGGTTTTTAAGCAGAGCTCTACGTAACTTTTTGCAGCTGCTTGTGGGAATTGTAGATGAATGAACTGTTTGTTCATTTTATTTTAGCCATGTTCAGAAGTGCAATCGCTTGGAAGAAATGCTTCTTCCTGATCCAGCACAGAGTTAGTAGCACCACAACAGTGCCTACAACAGACACAGAACATTAATGTTTCCTCTCTGCTTTTGACAACCATAGTGTCACATTGAGAGATTAGATTAACCCATATATGTACAGCAAAGAACTCAGGAGAGCCAGTCTTGGTTTCAGTTTTGTTCCCTTCTATATTTAACCTGCCTGTCTGCAAGGGCTTAATTCCCAAGCCTCTTCCACCCTCTGCTCAGCATTGCTGCCTGCATCTAGTCACAGGTGTGGATGCAGCACAAAGCAAATGCACAGAGCATAATTTAAAGGTACTCCAGTACAAGGTAGTAGCTGTATTCCAAGCTGCGTACCTTCTAAGGCCAAGGACCAATTTTTTTCCTTGGAAACACAGCTTGAGACGAAGTTGAGAGTGTTCTCAACCCAGATGCTGTTACTACAGAGCTGACAGAGAATGCCGTCAGAGCCAACATACCAGATGAAGTTTTTTTAAAGGGAAATGCTGTTCTTACATTTCAAATTAAAACGGCAGCAACAAGTGACATGAGAACGTAACCTGATCCTACAGTCCAAAATGAGTTTCAAAAACCACCAGCAGAAAAGCATTTCTTTGGGATACGAAAGTGGGGACTTGTGCAATTTAAGGAAGATATGCCTGCTGTGATGTGTGGAGTTCATATGCACCATCAGCCTTCCAAGCAAGGAACCTAACCTGAAGACATTTTTGTCATGCTAAACATGACATTTCTAAACCCTTTTTATGTGTCTAGGCTTAAACAGGCCATAACCCTACTGTCAGTAACATGTACTTGTCACTTCACTCTTCTGGGTAGTGCCACAAAGTTAGCCAAAGATATGCCTGCACAGGCAGACCTGTGCAGGGTATGTGCCTAACTTTAGGATAGGCAGTTAACAATCATGAAAAGTAGAGTCATTGAGAAAGCACACAGGAAAAGTATGCAATAGAGCATAATTCTGCAGCTAGATTCTGTATGTTCCAGTAAATGGGGGATGAGGTGTGGGAGGGTTTGATACCTGAAATTAAAAGTAGGAAAACACCATTCTTCAGCTCCTGTGGTTAACTGAAGTGCTAAATATGCTTTACATACTTTTTTCCAAGTGTATTTGTCTGACATTGTGCTGGTTTCAGCCAGGATCGAGCTAATATTCTTCATAGTAGCTAGCAGGGGTCTATGTTTCGGCTTTGTGCTAGAAACAATGTTGATGACACATAGATGTTTAAGTTATTGCTGAGCAGTGCTTACACAGAGTCAAAGCCTTTTCTGCCTCTCACACCACCCCACCATACACAAGAAGTTGGGAGAGGACACAGCTGGGACAGCTGACCCCAACTGACCAAAGGGATATTCCATACCATATGGCATTATGCTCAGCACATAAAGCTGGGGGAATCATAGAATCATAGAATTAACCCGGTTGGA